TGTCACACTAGCTTACTGTCACACTGACTCACTGTCACACTGGCTCACTGACTCACTGGTTCACTGGTTTACTGTCCAGCAGTCCCACTGACTTTAAGTTCCACTGGCCTACTGGCACACGGGCTCACTGTCAAACTGACTTACTGTCACACTGCCTCACTGATTCACAGTCACACTTGCTTACTGTCACTCTGACTCACTGTCACACTTGTTCACTGAATCACTGTCACACTGACTTACTGTAACACTGGCTTACTGTCACACTGGCTTACTGTCACACTGGTTCACTGACTCACTGTCACACTAGCATACTGTCACACTGGCTCAATGACTCACTGTCTCGGTAGCTTACTGTAACACTGGCTGACTATCACTCTGGCTTACTGTCACACTGGCTCACTGACTCACTGCCACACTAGTTTACTGTCACGATGGCTCACTGGCTCACTGTCACACTGGCTTACTTTCACCTGTTCACTGACTCATTGGCTGACTGTCACCCTAGGTAACTATCACACTGACTCACTGTCACACAGGCTCGCTTGCTTACTGTCACACTGACTTACTGCCACACGTATTCACTAGCTCACTGTCACACTGGCTGACTGTCACACTGACTCACTGACTCACTGGCTAACTGTCACACTGGCTTACTGTCACATTAGCTTACTATGACACTGCCTCACTGACTCACTGGCACGCAGGCTCACTTGCTTACTGTCACACTGGCTTACAGTCACACTGGCTTACTGTCACACTGACTTACTGCCACACGTATTCACTAGCTCACTGTCACACTGGCTGACTGTCACACTGGCTTACTGTCACGCTAGCTTACTATCACACTGCCTCACTGACTCACTGGCACACAGGCTCACTTGCTTACTGTCACACTGGCTTACAGTCACACTGTCTCACTGGTTCACTGGCTTACTGTCCAACAGCCTCATTGACTTACAGTCACACTGACTTACTGTCACACTGTCTTAATGACACACTGTCACACTATCTTGCTGTCACACTTGCTCTCTGACTCATAGGTTTACTGTCCAGCAGTCCCACTGACTTACAGTCACACTGACTCACTGTCACACTAGCTTACTGTCACACTGGCTTACTGTCACACTGGCTCACTGTCACATTGACTCACTATCACACTGTCCTACTGTCACACTGGCTTACAGTCACACTGACTCACTGTCACACTGGCTTACTGGCTCACTGTCACACTGTCCTCCTGTCACACTGGCTTACAGTCACACTGACTCACTGTCACACTGTCTTACTGTCACGCTGGCTTACTGTCACACTGACTCAATGGTTCACTGGCTTACTGTCCAACAGTCCAACTGACTTACTGTCACACTGGCTTGCTGACTCACTGGCTGACTGGCAAATTGTCTTACTGGCTCAATGGCTCAATGGCTTGCTGGCTTTCGGAGTATATACTTACTCCTTCATCAGGTGAGCTAGAATCATTAACCCGATGCAGGAGTAAGTATATACTCCGAAACGTTGTGATCCTCATCACAAAGAGGTTTACATCCTGAATCCATCTTCCATAGTTGCTTACAGGCTCTCTGACTCTCTGACTCACTGTCTCACTGTCTCACTGTCTCACTGGTTTACCTCATAGCCACTCTCATTGATAATCAGCTTCCAATCCGTTTGTCATATAACAACACTTGTTTATTAATTTGCGAATAAATGTATGCAACAAAGACTAGAGCTAAATTTTCAGCTTTGATGGAATCAATTTAATGTATGCCCACTGTGACACTCTCTGTGATTTGGCTCATCATAAAATGCTATTTATACGTCATAAAATGCTATTTTTACGTCATAAAATGCTATTAATACGTCATAAAATGTTATTAATACATCATTTATGCTATTTATACGTCATAAAACGCTATTAGTACGTCATAAAATGCTATCAATACATCATTAAACGTAATTTATACGCCATAAAATGTTATTTATACGTCATACAATGCTTATCATACGTCATAAAATGTAAGCTGGCAGTCAAAGACAGTGGTGCCTGAGGTTGTTAAATCCATGTTGCTAGGCCTGCCATTTGTCCCGAGCATAAGCCGTCTGTATATAATCTATACCCATATGGAGATGTAAGTGTTCGATATGAGTGGTCCACATATATTAAAAAGGTTGGACTAAAGGTGTACTGCTAATTTTGAAATATCAGATGGGGCCCACTACTGCAGTACGATGTTTCCTAATGTCGATTAATGTTTCTCTGTATTGTAAAGAATGTGAGGGCTATTTATAGATATACAAAGGGGTAGGATATATTTCTTGTACTAATCTTTTCAAAATCCCTGATGCTATGGTTACAACTGTTGTATGTTATGGCTGAAGAAACATGGCGTACTACATGTTGTAAGCCATAGAAAACCATCCAAATTAAAACTAGTAAACGATGCATGAAGATTGGCAAAATCTAATAATATAGTACTCCGTCAGTGAAGTACTCCGAAGATGCTCCGTTGCTGGACCAGGACACTGTGTCTTTAACGGGTTCCTTACTGTGTGCGCCTACGTTGCATCTCTCCTCACCCTCACCGTTATCTCCATAAACCGCTACCTCAACATCCACTACAACTTCAATATAATAGTCTGTATATGTATCTAAATTTAGATATCAGAATTTAAACATATGACTTAAATTAGCAGATATAAGAATATGTTTACCTAAATTTAGATGTAAAAAATTAAAACATTTGACTGAAATTGGCAGATATGGGAGAATGTGTTTTCCTAACTTCAGATGTGTCAAATTGAAACATATGACTGACAATGGCAGATATAAGAATATGTTTACCTAAATTTAGATGTAGGAAATTAAAACATTTGACGGAAATTGGCAGATAGAGGAGAATGTGTTTTCCTCACTTTGGATGTGTCAAATTGAAACATATGGCTGACAATGGCAGATATACGATTATGTTTACCTAATTTTAGATGTAGGAAATTAAAACATTTGACTGAAATTGGCAGATATAGGAGAATGTGTTTTCCTCACTTTAGATGTGGGAAATTGAAACATATGGCTGACAATTGCAGATATACGAATATGTTTATCTAAATTTAGATGTAGGAAATAAAAACATTTAACTGAAATTGGCAGATATAGGAGAATGTGTTTGTCAAACTTCAGATGTGTCAAATTGAAACATATGACTGACAATGGCAGATATACGAATATGTTTATCTAAATTTAGATGTAGGAAATTAAAACATTTGACTGAAATTGGCAGATATAGGAGAATGTGTTTTCCTCACTTTAGATGTGGGAAATTGAAACATAGACTGACAATGGCAGATATACGAATATGTTTATCTAAATTTAGATGTAGGAAATAAAAACATTTGACTGAAATTGGCAGATATAGGAGAATGTGTTTGTCAAACTTCAGATGTGTCAAATTGAAACATATGACTGACAATGGCAGATATACGAATATGTGTATCTAAATTTAGATGTAGGAAATTAAAACATTTGACTGAAATTGGCAGATATAGGAGAATGTGTTTTCCTCACTTTAGATGTGGGAAATTGAAACATATGGCTGACAATGGCAGATATACGAATATGTTTATCTAAATTTAGATGTAGGAAATTAAAACATTTGACTGAAATTGGCAGATATAGGAGATTGTGTTTTCCTCACTTTAGATGTGGGAAATTGAAACATATGACTGACAATGGCAGATATACGAATATGTTTATCTAAATTTAGATGTAGGAAATTAAAACATTTGACTGAAATTGGCAGATATAGGAGAATGTGTTTTCCTCACTTTAGATGTGGGAAATTGAAACATATGGCTGACAATTGCAGATATACGAATATGTTTATCTAAATTTAGATGTAGGAAATAAAAACATTTGACTGAAATTGGCAGATATAGGAGAATGTGTTTTCCTCACTTTAGATGTTGGAAATTGAAACATATGACTGACAATGGCAGATATACGAATATGTTTACCTAAATGTACTATGAGGAACACAACGTTCATCAGGTGAACAAATGTTGTGACAGACAGGCAGTTTTGGAGTTTAACGATCGCTTCTGTCGCAGGCAGAAAACATACCTGTAAGAACAACAAAGGTAATCAGATAACAAAGGTGGAACTTCACACGGGAAGCCAGCAGTACATTGGCGCCAATAGGTGATTAACAATGGACAAATGGAAGCGAACACTTAACAGTTAATTCGCGCTGACAGGTGATAGCGACGGACAGCTGGAGGCCAGGACTTAAATTATCACTGATTGATACGAGGCAATGGACAGTGGGCAATCGTGAGGCTGGGGATATTTAGCACTGACAGGTAATAGAATGGAAATGGCATTGACAAATGGAAGCAAGCTGGATTGCCTTTCAAAGACTTGAAACTTAATGAAGTCCGCAAATTTTGAAATTATTATTTATAATTTAAGCTAGTATAGTTCAGTGTTAATAAAATAGAGAATTGTATTTTTTTTCTCTCTATGAGAGTTACATACGGCAATAAGCCCATGCAGGTAAACCTTTTTATGACTATATTTTGGGCCAGTGATTAAGTTGTCTTTCTGTCGGTCTGAGTATTGTGTGTCTATGCATAGTTTTTGTGTGAAGGATAACACACATCCGCATTTGAGGTGCTTCAAATTACTTCTCAACACACTTGTTACCAACTGATTAAAATGTTTGAGCATAAATTCATTTATTAAAACTCTAACTTGTCCTGTTGTTCCGATATAACGGCAATCAATATTCAAACTTCAAAAGCTTGATTAGACAGAATTGTACGAAAATAACCTATGATCAGTGTGTCCATGATGTTTATTAAGAATATTATGTAAAGCCTTTAACAATTCTTCTTTATTGGCTAACCTACCCGACATCATACAACCAGTTGTTAACGGCAGCCTGGCTGTCCTTTGTTTTGTTTCAACATGTTCTGACATCTAATACCAAAGTATATTGTTACAGATTCCTGATAGGCTTACTCCTCCGTCAACATGACGCCAACAGATCCTTACGTCGGATTCGAAATTAGTCAAGAAGCTAGGATCATTTTTATCATTATCGGTATCTTCTACGTCGTCATGGGTACGTTTGGCAATCTCCTCATCATTGTCACTGTGGCAAGCCATCGCGTGCTCCGAACCCTTCACGGCATCTACATCGTCAATCTTGCCGTGGCCGACTTGATCATTCTAGGATACGTTGTGTCTTATCTCCTGGTGGATCTTATGACAGGAAGATACTCCGTTGCTGGACCAGGGCACTGTGTCTTTAACGGGTTCCTTATTGTGTGCGCCTACGTTGCATCTCTCCTCACCCTCACCGTTATCTCCATAAACCGCTACCTCAACATTTGCCACAGCGATACATACCGCCGTGTCTTCACGAAACACACAACCATTACAATCTGTGTTTGTATCTGGGTGGTTGCAGCACTCATGACGCTACCACCTCTCGTTGGCTGGGGCCGCTTCCGGTATGACCGGAAGTTGCACTACTGCGGATATGACCGAACAGCTAACTTCGGCTACACTCTTTTTCTCCTCCTCGGCAGCATCGCCGCTCCAGCCATCATCATCTTCATCTGTAACTTCTACATCTACCGCTACGTCAGGAACGCCAAAAATAGGATCAGACAGACAGGGTTGCCGTCTAACAGAACCCCCAAGCCTGCTGAGATATCTCTCATCAAGACACTGTTTGCCGTGTTCCTCTGTTTCGCGGCACTCATGAGCCCCTACATGATCACTACCATTGCTGACAGAGACGACACATGGCCCGCTACCGTCCACATCGCCTGTTCATACACCTCCTTTACCAACTCCTGTGTTAACTGGTTCCTCTACGGTCTCATGAACCGCAGCTTTAGGGAAGGGTACAAGAAAACCCTCTGCTTCTGGCGTCAACCAACGCAACTGTCTCCAGACAATATGCACGTGGACAATGTGCTTCCCGGAGCGTCCAAAATCAGTGACCGAACAAGATCGACAGAAGAGGGGAACGGCGTGAACCATATTGAACGTTCGTGTAACAATTTGCTCACTGTCAAGCCATACACACACTATCCGAAGTACGAAAGCACATGTATGTGAATCTTCGAAGGTGCTTCACAAGGGTGTCTAATCATCATATCAGTCAGTTCAATACAACCTTGAAGATCCGTGGTAGAATGAGTCTTCAGCAACCCATACTTGCCGTAAAAAGCGATTATGCTTGTCGTAAGAGGCGACTAACGGCATCAGATGGTCAGACTCGCTGACTTGGTTGATGCATGGCATCGTATCCCAATTATGTGGATCGATGCTCATGATATCAATCACTGGATTATAGACCGCTGTCATATAACTGGAATATTGCTGAGTGCGGCGTTTAACAACAAACACAAACAATACAACCTTTCATCTCATCTGAAAGTTGGTCGACACATACCGCAAACTGTCAGTACAGTCAGGTACAGTCGAACTGCGTCGTGTCGAAGTTGAAGGACCTACGTAAATAATTCAGGTTATCCGAGGTTCAACACAACCGAAAATAATTAATAAAGAAGGAATACGCATTGATCAAATTATTTCTTCAAGATAACCTGAAGTTCGACACAACGGTGTTTGACTGTACGTGATAATCGAACAGTTGTTGGCATTTAGAATGAGTATTACGAGGAATGGACTTTACACAGTGAGCTCATGTAGGAATTGATGCAAGTGAAGGAAATAGGATAAAGCCAATATTCTGATTATTAATGACTCGATATGTGGCGTTCTCTGGATTGATGCCTACAAAGGAAACACTGGTTAACAACAATGAATGTTAGATTTTGTGAATGCTTTAATAATGGACGATGTTTACATAAATGGTATATTTTGATGTCATAGGTGTCGTATATGTGATATATGGAGATATGCTCATATGAAAAAATGGTAAGAATGTTCATTCTTCTTGAAGCTTGTTTCATAATCAGTGACCTAGAAATCCAAAGGCAACCAATCGCATACCAGAAACATTGTACATATTCTCATTCTATTCAGAAGGAGAATATGAATGTTTCTGGTATGCGATTTGTTACCTTTGAATTCTAAATCACTGATTATGAAACAAGCTTCAAAGTAGAGTGTGAGCATGCTTATATTAACAGTTTTGATTAAAAAAAATTACAAACATGAGAGTAGTCGATTTTGGTCTATTTCTGTTGACTTAAAAAATATTTTGATATAACAAATTACAATGTAAAACGGCAAGGCCCCGGAATAGCAGTCTCCATTATCCGCCGAAACAGATTCTATTGGGCGTAAAAGGCACAATAGTGGTGGAAAATATGTGAATGGATCATTGTAAACAGTTTTATCAACGCGTGATTACAAGTATTCAGTCCTTATTCTCATCATTTATTCAAGAAGTATAGGCCGCCGGCCCATTACATGTTGCAAACAGTGCTACAGCCATTTATTTATAATGGTATTCACTTTCAACATAGCTACTGTGTAACACATATCACATATTCTTTGGTTTCTTGGCATGCCCACGTATCTAACGGTTTCTATATTTAGACGATGTGGGCCACATCTTTACCTTGCTAAAGCCACAAGAAACTTATTTATAGTGATATCACCAATATATGGTTAAACGCCCAAAATAGGTTGAAATAAGAAGTATGAGAACGTTTTAGAGCCTAGCGATTGGGAGGCATGCCATTCAGGTTGGTGCATATATTGTGCTCTAGCCATAAACTCCGAAACAAAAGAATCTATACTGCCAATAGACTGATCTTCACAGACAAAACCAGATCCCATTTTATATATTAATAATTTCAACTTCGAAACCCAGTTAATTTTCCATGGCTATTTCCAATAGTAGAAGTATAACGTTCAGTATTCAGTATTTAGTCCTCAATCACTGGTACCTGTAGGGCATTATATGATTTATCATATACTTCTGAGTGAAAGACTGAGTTTTCCGAAGTTGGAAAAAGTGATTTTTTCCTCGCAGTGAACATAACACTTTGACGGAACTATTGTCATACAAGAGTGACCTCCCCTCCAATTGTCTCCCTTTATGGTGTCTGGCTCGTACACAAACTGTTGACTTCCTTTTCACGTTAATTCCACATTGACGAGGCAAAATAAAGACAGAAGTAGTTAAGGAAAGTGCTTTTGCCCGTGCATCAGCAGGAGTTATCTCCCCCTACCGGAAGTGGTTCTGCGCATGCGCGAAGAGGGCATGCTGGGTCATGCGTGCGCATCCACGATGACGTCACTTCCGGTTGCGTGTGGAGATGATAGATCACTGAGACGAGCGTTTACACAGTCGATGACCCAGCAACGTTGTTGCTTGGCTGACGTCACATCGCCTAAGGATCTTGCAACAAAATTCAACAAATTACGTCATCGGGTATTATGACTTGATTGTAAACTTTGAGGTGCAAGGTCTCGTTCCACAAGACTTTTTTCACACTTCGCTACTTCCGGTTTGAAAGCGAGGCTTGGAGAGCAGAAGGTGAAGGCTGGATAGCACATGAAACACATGGAGATGTCAACAAGGCACGCAATCGGGACAAACTGTGACAATTTAACCATCCCGGTACATTTATCGTAAGTATTGAACATTGTTCTTATTCTTATCATTGACAAACTATTCAACTGTTATCTGGTCTCCTTACCAATATAAATTTGAGTCTGGCCGTTCTGTTGTGATTTCATTTTAAAATATCCATGATCACCTGGTAACTCCCAGTGCAGTTTATGGTAGCTGAACAGACTTAAAGGGGAAGTGTACACGCAAAAATCACTTTCTTTCTTTTTCTAAACAAAACGCAATTTTAGAATTAGTTAATATCTGTGTTTGAAAATGTAAACTCATTTTTTTCACAGTGAAAGTAGGAAGCTCACAATAGTGTGAAAATGATATGCCGTTATGAGGCCTTCGTTTTTCGAGCTAAACAGGCCTGAGTTATCCCCCTTAGATTATGACGTAATTGGTGCCAATTCAACTGGGTCCCTGTCTATTCTGAACGCAAAAGATATCAAGTACAAGTTTGCGGTAAAACAACATGGCCTACGACACACTCCGGCGCAGTAGTGACTCAGCATAACACAATTCTGGCTGGCATCTGAGACGCTAGAATCACAAAACTGTACCTACACCACGTGAAGCGGCTCTAACAAAGCATGATGACGTCATAATGTTGATCAATTGGCACCAATGACGTCATATTGCAAGGGGCATAACTCATGGTGTTTTTGTTATGGAAATAGAACACTTGGTAAATGTGAAAAATATAAATCGTTTTAATGCAAAAAATATGTTAATTAAGTATGATGTTTTTATATTTTTGTCTATGACACTTCTATGTTAACACTTTTAATGTGGAAAAAGTACAAGAAAAATTGGTTCATTTCCGTGTGAACTTGCCCTTTAATACAAATGCTACTGAGATCTTTTAAAGAAGAATTCATTGTTTACACACCATTAAGCCAAACTATTTATTGTGAGTTTAAATAAATTTGCGGGTTGTATTTGAAGTCGAAATATTGACCTTTTGACCATATCTAGATATATGTCAGAAACTAACTAAATTGATATGTTGATATAATGTATCAAATTGTAACCTATTGAGAATTTACAATCGTAACAAATCAGAATTTTGCATCAGTTGCGTATTTGATGTAAATTGTAATGGACTCAAATGCATTCCAATAAAATATTAGACCTCTAGATCTACTTGTGCTGTCAATATTGTGAAAGTTGTTATTTTGATTCTCAATGTTGACATATCAGATACCATGAGGTGTAATATTTCAACTGAATTATTACATAAAAGGTGTTTAAGTATTTGAAGTAAAGTACAGTTTGATCTGCAATTTTGTAAACAATATTTCTACCAAAATGATATTTACTTTACTGTACCAAATTAATTATGTCATGAAATGAACAAAAACCCAACTGATTAATGGCCAGTAAATGTTCAATCTACATGTGATCTTTATATAATTTACACAAACAGATAACTCTTTAACAGTTTGTATTCAAATATTTTAAATGCATAAATTTTTATTGACATTACTATAAACTTAAAGTATAAACAGAATTATTTTTAATTCCAATGCGTATTGCAATCATAACTCATTTATCCTCTTTGTTTAATTGTGAAACCCATCTGGCTTTATGTCCACAAACATGTTGAAACTTTAAAAAACAAAATGATTTCTTTTGTGTAAGCAATTGCCATGTATTATTGATTTTTAATCATATCAATTTATATGTAAGAATATAGTTGTGCTTACTGTGTCATTTTGCAATAATTATATTGTTATGATGTAATATTTTACTATTGTTAACAATCTTTAGAACTTTAGTTTATTTCAATCAAGTCAAGAGGTGTGATATCTTTTTATAATTCATTCAAAACGAGAAATATAAAAAAATATATATACATGGAAGAAATTTGTTTTCCTTGTCAAATAACGATGATAGCATGAATTTATCTCATCTTGTGATATGACAAAGTTAATATTTTCAAGTCAAGATATCAACTTTAGTAAACAACAAGAAGAGATAAACATTATATTTGACAAAATAAATTCAAGTCTTATATTTTCTTTGTGATCTTCATCACCTTACCATAGTGTCAATGAGGCAGACTGACTGTAGGGATGACAAAATGTGATATTTCACCTGATTTTAATAAAAATCGTATTTGTTTTCAGCATGGTCAGACTAAACAAAGTATGTCATGATTAAATACATACCGGTAATACAAATATCAAAACGTGTTTCATTAAAACAAGAGTACATTTCTGTGTGACATTGATATAAAGAGCTGTAGTACAGTCATTAAATTGATGTTTGATCTGTTGAGTTTACTGTTTACACAGAATATACTGCTTGAATTTTAGACATATCAGATGAATTGATGCCTTCAAGATTGTTCTAAAGTTGCATGTAATGTTACACACTGTGATTAACTTTCCTTAAATTTCTCTATTTGAGATGAATGTTGTTTTCTACATAAGCACTATTTTGAGAGAAGGTGAATGTGCATTGTTTATAAAATGTTTTTATTGAAGTAGAAATATTATTACAATATTATTGAATTATTCATTTCAGGCCAGCGAGTCAACACAATGAAGTACTAGTATCCTGTGATGGATGTCTGGAGGAGCTTTCTGCTGTCATAATACACTGGTTACAATATGCGTCCTGTCAAAGGACGAGGAAGTGAAAAGACATTTTTTTTCAATCAACAAATGTGCTTCCTGTCACATTTCACTTAAA